CCCCCCCGCTCCCTTCTTTTTCTTATATTATGTTTTATTACTAACAGCAGCCTCCTGGCCTTATCTTCTCAAGTTTTGATCAGTGTCTTTAAGGTCACTAGAGTGTGATGTATTTAAGACCTGAATCAAGTGACACATGCTGTGTGTAAGCTGGGGAAACAGCCTGCAAAAAGTGTTTTTCAGTTAGTTGATAGTTAAGCAGAACTTTGTGTCTCATGTAGCTTGTACAAGCTGTATTTAGAAATATGTTAACTTCTTATAACCCATCCCCAGCTCCTGGCTTTCTTCTGTATGAGGTCTTTTATCAGAGCTGCATGGACAACTTTGTCACAATGGCATTAGTATGGCATCCGGAGCACAAAGAGTATAATACAACTGTGTATGGGAAATGTCTTTTGAGTGCAAGTTAGGCAGTACGTTCATCGCATTGGATTGAATTAACTAGGAGAAACTGTGGCTGAAAGAATCAACTTTCATTACCTGAAGTTGCCCCATCTGGGAGCTCAGCACCTCACAGGAGCAGGGCTCTGGTCTCTGTGTGTAGGAACATGGAAAGACAAGAGCAGGGGAGCGTAGGGCAGCCATGCCGATACAATTTTAAGCTGCCCGGCCTCGCACCCGGCACCATTCTCCCATGAGCAGACAAGGAAGGAAAGCCTTGTTGTTAATAGTAAGTCCAATACCTCAAACGTAAATAACATCTTGGCAATTTCGTGAATAAAAGAGACTATTTTGAACAGAGGTATCATTCATTCAGCTGTTGCTGTACTCTAACCAGCTGTGATCAAATGACAAATACTGGCAATGAGGCATAGTGTATCACAAAACCAGCCAGTAGAGGAAATAGCAGTGCTAATCTAGAGGACTAGACTTCAGCCCTAAATCAAGTGAATTAACACTGCAGTGAAAGCTACTTCAATCTTAGAAGAAAAGTTTAATATATCAGGAGCCCATTTTCCTATTTTCGTTAGATTGTTTTTGTTCTTGCTGGAAGGGTGGTGATTTAACTTGGCTGGAGAAAGATGGTGGTAGCCACATTGTATTCATTATACTTGCTAAGCCTGGTTCTTGCACTTGAATTGTTACAACCGGTGCTGACCAGTTGTCACAACATTTGAAAGAATTGAAATATTTATGTAGAAGGAAAGCTGCTTTCCCCCCTTTCCTAAGTGAGACTGTCATGGCACAGGCCTCTATATGTGAGCGAGAAAGTTTCCAATTTGAAGCCAAACTCTGTTCTGATGTGTTTCAGTCACACCTTGTCTCATCGTGCCCCCGAGGCCAGCAGAAGTCCATCTGCTAGCACCAGCCAGCTGGGCAACGTGTGCTGGTAGCGAAGGGCTGCGCTGAGGTCTGAGTTCCACCTTACGCTGAAAATACCTTCCAAAGCTTTGCTGTTTAAGCAGCGTGATGATTTTGAAATTTGGGTGCATTGTACAAATGCTGTTGTATAAGGCAGCCAACAACCGTATCTTTGCGTGCTGGTTTTTAGCAGGAATTTACACTTCTAGTGTTGCAGAATTCACAATGTATAAAACAAAGATGGTATCTAATTTTCTTAAGACCACCCATAAGGGAACGCTGGGGAAAAAAAAGAAAATTACTTTATGCTAGAATTGCTATCACCAAAAGAGAAAGATTAATCTAGTCATTTGTTAGCTAAATGTTTTTAAGTGTGTTCCTCTATTATGGAAAAAATTGGGCAGTAAGAATTTAACAGTCACTGAGAATGCTGCTAATTTATGTATAGCAATTGTTTGAATTATGCATAGGTTATGCTGTGGGCCAGAAGAGTGTGTGTGTATCTGAAAGTTACTGTTCTTGTGTTAGCCATAAAAATACCTGTTTTATTCTGTCTCTCATGAAGAAAAACTGATCTACGTTACACATGCCAGGACTGTTCTATAAACCAGCATCTATTGCTGACCTCATTTAACAGTCCTCCAGAGCAGTCACTGTAGGCATTCCAGGAAAGCAGGCCACCTAAAAAAAAGCATTTATTGAGGGGAGGAAAAAAATAAATTCTAAGTGTGACCTTCAACAGCCATGGAAAAAAAAATGCCATTCTGGGCAGCCTGAATGTTCTTAATTTCAGACAAAAAAACTGCTGAGAGGAACTCCCTCTGACCAGTTCTCCTATGGAAAAAAAATGCCTGCAGCCAAAACTAGATAGTAATAAATAATTTTCTAAAGCTAGAGAAGAACAGCATGCACAGAGACTGTCAACTGGAGGTGAGAATTTTTGGCGAAGTATTGATCAGATCACAAAAATATGAGAGAGTTTATTGGTAGGCTGCTCTTTTATTAATTGCATTTAGGGAGCAGTATTAGAAGCCACCTCACCATCTCTCAAATGGCCAGACTGGCACAGATTCAAGGCTACAGGACACCCAATATCTAATGAGTAACTGGACTTTCTGCCCAGCTTATACCTGAGTACTGAGCCTATTTCTAAATGCTCTCACCTTTCCTTTCAACCTCACAACCAAAGGCTGAACATATTAAGAACAAGTGCTGTGAAAGGAGTTTAGAAAGAACTGCAAGTTTATCTGAAAATGTTTCCTGCCAAGGCTTGGGAAGAGAATGTAGCATGCTTTCCTCCATCTTCTGAACTGAATTTTACTAATGTCTTGCAAATCAAATCAGTAAGTAAAAACATCTCTCTGTCAGAACTCCTTCACTGTGAGTCCTCTTGTTAACAGGATAAGCACAGCCCGTAACATCAGCACACGCTGCATGGGGCACTTGAGACCTTGTTTTCTCCTCAGTTGCAGTCAAGTGTCCTGTTAAGCAATCCTGCAAATAAATACATGGGCACACTTCACGCTCTGGATAAGCAGTGATGATACCGAGGTCATCTGTTTGTTAAAAGATATCACTTGCACATACATGTTGTAAAAATACGATGATTTATAAAACAGGCCATGGCTGTGTTATGAGGTAGTCTATAAAAACATCTTTGAAGGTACTGGGGGCTTCCTGACAGGGAAGCAAACCTGCCTTCCATTCAAATCACTAGCAAAACTTACCTCATTTTTGATGCAGTCAGGATGAGGTTCTACGTAATAACAGAATTTCACTTACTGTATGAAATGTAGGGAGGAGAAAAAATACACTCAGGCATAGATTTTGGCCAGGAACAGGGCACTTTTGTCTACAGCCATGAGCGCTGTACTTGGAGTATGCACATAATGTTCAAATTACAGCTACAGATCCTGAGAGGAAAAGAATCGTAGCGTTCTCCCTGGCTTCCCCACAGGGCGAAGAGCACAGCCCATTGCCTCTGGTGGTCTTTGGAAATAGCCCTCGTGAAACTGGATATGGATTTTTCAACTTTGCTGCTTCTTTGCTTTCAGGAAAATTTTATAACATAGGAGACCAGAGGGGCCATGGAGAAGATCACTGCCAATTTGTAGACTCCTTCTTAGATGGAAGGACAGGACAGCAAGAAGATCTACCAGTCAAAGATGGTAATTCCTTACGCCCGTCTCTGTCGCCAACCTTGGCAATTCCTTTGTTTGTGTGTTTCTTTTTCCTGCCAGTGGATTCAGCGCCCACTGCTGGGGTGGGCGATGGCAAGGGACTACCTGCTGCAGGCAGAAGAGAGTCGAGAAGTTTTTGAAGATGAGCAATGACTTATTAAAAGAAGGTTATGACTCGGGTTCTGCTAGGTAGTAAACAGCCTCTCTCCTGTTTAAAACATTCCAACAGATTATTCATAGTTGGTATTACATATTTAAACCCAACCACAAATCTGAGTTTGCAGAGAGGCATGAAGTGTTATGTTCAAACTAGCAAGGTTGATTTAAAGTACAGTAAATCACCAGTTGGGCATTAAACGGCTTTGTTCAGTGCTAATGAGAAACTAAAAAGTTATTACTGGAAAATATAATTCATGCTGCAGTAATTCTGTGTGCACTAATTTGAACCGGGTGCCTAGAATTCCAGTCTGGTCTAAGTGGGCATGGGACTGGATGTCCTCAACACAGCTGTGACCTGCCTGGCTATTTTTCACATGTTGCTGAGGCTCGAGCATAAGAAAATTCTACTTCTGTCGGCTGAACTCCTGCCTTGCTTGTTTGCAGCAGTGCCAGTGTGTGAGGTTTCCATTCCCATGTGGGGCAAGAACGCAGGCTGTATTGATACCCGCGTGCATGCTGAGCGTGTCATGGAATGTTTTACTGAGAAAAATATTGAAACGGTTTTCAGTACAATATCAGTGTGTTGAGCAAACCTTCCTGTCTGTAGTGCGTCATTTGTAAAACACCTTACAGAAGTACAGAAATGCATTGAGGTAGGTGTGGGAGATTAAAGTGAAGTGCCTAAATCTTTCAGAGGTATTTCCGAAAACAAAGTAGGTGAACGATCTGAAAGGTGTTGGCTTATGTGATTTTTTTTTTTTTTTTTTTTTTAAGAGAGGGCTTTGCTTTTCCTTTCCCAGACAGTGTTGCCCATTTGTAAAGGTATTTTGTTTGTGTAAGGGATTGTCTGAATCCAATTTGGCGTTGCCAGGACAGCAGACCTCTCAGTTGTACCAGATTCACTCTTTTTTGAATGATTTTATAAATAAAAAGTCTCTTTTACATAAAAAGCTCGCTATCCCAGCTTAAAAGACATTTAAAACCCATTTGTTTTCAGCGACTTTGAGTGGATTCATGAGCTACATTCATTTTTGGGGGGAAAAAAAAAAACCCAACCACCCCACAACAAAACAAAACCCCCAAAAACCAAACAATCAAACAAAAAAAGACCCCACCTTTTCTGTGGCTTATAATTCTAGTAAATGAACTGAACAGAGGAAAGAAAAGACAGATTGTCCGTTGCTGCTCGGCTCCTCCCTGGCTGCAGCAAGTTGAGTTCAAACCAGAATTAACTACATGTATTTGACCTGAAGCGCAGGGAGGGCATCATGACTGCTGTTGCGCAGTAGTTGCAGAATAGTATTTTGTGCATGAGTGTGCGCACACCTGCGTATGCACACATGCACGCTGTAGCCACACGTATATTTCTGATGGTCAGGTTGGATTCAGCACTAATTGCTCACTTTCATTTTTAACTTAAGGTTAATTGTTTGAATGGGAAGCATGTGTATTGTCATACAGAACAGATTTAAAGTAGAAGGTATCATCTTTCGCTTGGGGATGGGGAGATAGTGTGAAATATCCCCAACTGTCAAGTTTTAGGTTCACTGGAGTGTTAAGGCTACTGCCGTGGGGACTAGTTAATCATTGTAACTCTGCAAGGAGGAACAGCCTCCTGTTTAGAGAAGACCCCAGCAGCAGCCAGAGGGGGGGAAGGAAGGGGCGCTGGCCTCACCCGGCCGGCACCATCCATGGGTGGGTGCTGGGGACACAAGTCTCAAGGGGAGGCAGGCTGCTTCACCTCTCTGGCTCTGGGCTGCAGCAAGCCCAAGCACTTCGGCTTTTGTTTGAGTTGAGTGGGCGAATGCCGGCTGTTTCAAAGTGCTAACTGATGGAGGGGCAGCAAACAGCCCTGTCTGTGGCAGATGGGTCCACAGCTTAGTGACTAGTGTAGCCACTAAGTGCACTGTACACAGACTTCACAGGGAAATCAGGAAGGTACTGGCTGAGGGCTTCATGCAAACACTTCTCTGTTCTCTGTTCCAGGGTATTTCAGGGCAGTTCGTCAGGAACCTGTCAAATTTGGAAAAATAGGCGGGGAGACTCACATTAACTATGTTGGCTGGTACGAGTGTGGAACATCAATCCCTGGGAAATGGTAGATGCGACATGAGCTTGGTGAAAAGGCCCAGCGCTTACCACCCCCGTCCGACTGCCCAATGCAGGCTCAGAGGTGGAAATGTTTATGGTATGCCTGGCACTTAAATAAGTTTGCTGATGTGCAAGGGTTTATGCAAGTCTAATGCCAATACTGCATTAATTGTGTAATAGCGTAGGCTGCTTACTGTAGTTATCCAGTTTTACAAATTTGTTTTTAGATTAAAAAAATCCCAAACAGGCTAGGGACATGTTGTAGGATAATGTATAGGGAAGCTGGCTCCCTATTCTTGAGGTGTGGTTTATATGGTATTTTAAAAGATACGGTGTGTATATTATTTATCACAATGTTGTAATAAATGTTGAAGGCACAGTTATGGCGGAGTTGGTCATGGAATGCAATGTGCATTAGTTTTTAAATATTCACTGGTCTTCTTGTAATGTAAGTGCCATAAGCTACCTGTCCAGACAGACCTGTAATGTCTCCCCAGTCGTAAATTATAGAAAAGACCCTACAACTTTTAATGTCCTGCAACCAATAAACTTGAAGCGCTTTCTCCTTACATGTACGGACAGTTTATACTCCTGCCAAAATGCCGAGGTAGGTTGCTATACGTGCAGCTTTACACGACCAGGTTAGTGGGTTTTTTCCATGTTTGTTTTCAAATGCTTCAGCTCCAGCACAACAGTATGTTCAGCCTCTCACTACGGAGTTAGAGCCACTGCCCCCGGGCTTGGCAGTGGTTGGTTGGTAGGTTTGGTTTCCTCCCGTTAAAGCAGACAGGTACATATATATGTACACAGAATAAAAAAAATGAAACTGCCCTCCACTGCTGTGGCTTTTCATGAAAATGTAGTTTTCAGAGACACTTACTGGTTCAAAAGCCAAATGTACGTACAGTGCAGGGGGACTTGGAAAGATAAATGAAACGGGGAAAAAATAAGCTACTTATAACAGCATAATCACGTTTATTTTATTTAAAAAAAAAGAAAAAAGTGGTTTAAAACATTGTTCATTGGGGACAAAGGGGAAATAGTGATAACTGAACTTTAAAACTGCTTTACGGTAATTTTGATTCAAACCTCTCCCAAAGCTACTTGTTGTACCGCTTGAACATTTATGAACTAAATAAAGAGATGTAGTTTTTTTTAAAGGTGTTATTCATTACATTACTAATGTATTGAAAAAATATGAACAGGAACACCCATATATATATATATAGTAGAAATAGTCATTTACAGAAAATGCCTTATAAAGTACATTGCAGGTACACTGTACTCCTAATAAAATATTTTTTAATCAAGTGTTTTTCTTAGTGTTTTACATGAAAACAAACATTAGTTTCTGTGGCAAATGCTATTATTTCAGGAAGCAGTGTGTTCTGAAACAGGTACGGGTTACCTGGTGTGGTGTTAGGCCTGACAAGAGTACAAACAGCAGGAGTTACAGCTACGGCTTACTGGATAGCGCGACTATCCAGTGGGAGCAGCAATATTTAAGGATGCCGAAGGTACAAATATTTTCACTCACTTTATTTCCTAATTTGTCTTTATGAGAGTTCAAGCAGCTTGCTCCAGTTCGTTTTTTTATTCCCTACTTAGTTTTATGTGTTCCTAGAATCCGTAAGATGGAAAATATTAACTGGGAGAACGTTTTGCCCTCTGCTGTTATACGGTCTGTTATTGAATCTGTTACAGCTCTCGATCTGCTTTTTCTTGGCTCAAAATCGAGTCACTAGAATTGCACTCCCAAGTTTTTCTGGGTGGCAAAGGACCTGTGGAAAGTTGTTCCTTTTTAATTCTTTTTTAGAAATACGTATTTGGCTTAAATTTTCAAGTAATAAACCAATTCTCCCCCTGCCCTTGTTAAAGTGAAATCGGTAAGGGGCTCTAAGATTTTACGTATTGGTTCTTACTCATTTGGTAAAAGGGTCACTTGGCAATTAATAACAGCAGACAGGGCAAAACCATCTACTGCTGCATAACCTCTGCAAAAGCAATCTGTATTTGCAACATTTCTCCATTTACGCACCCACGAACCCGAGCACCGCTGATCTTTACCTCGGCATCTGTACACCCAGCACACGGACTTGACAGTTTTCTTCTTCAGGATTACCCAAATTCTAAAATCAAGATCAGGCGTCTAATAGATTCAGGGTTTTTATTAGTTTTCCATGTGAGCATTACAATTTATAATACATCATATCTAGTTTTACCTCCAGAATGAATCTAATTTAGTACACCACGGTATTAGTAAAAACAAGCCTGATAAGTGGGCTAAACTTCCAACTAGCATCTTCATACCCTTCGAACAAGGCAAGCTAGAATGTCAATCACTTCACAGACACTTAGGTAGTGTTTCCCAAAAACAGCCCAGCCCCAAATTAAACTAGGAAGCGTATACGATTTAAAGCAGGAAAGATTCATTTGGTCGTTCCCCATCCCCCAGCAGAATTTAATTAACAGCTATAGTTCTGCCTCATTACAGTTTCGGAATCTCAATTAAAAATCCTGGAGTCTGTTGGGGTGGAATCCTACGCGCCGCGCCAGTCGCCCGTGTCGGGTGGCACCTCCTTACCGGTAGCCCGGTCCTGGCTGGGTGTAGCCCTGGGGCCCGAAGGGCGGCCGGCTGCGGGCGTAGGGGTTGGTCCCGCTGGGCGGGGGGGTGATGGTGCTGCCGGGCGG